CACACCTGGGGTACACCTGGGACACACCTGGGGTACACCTGGGGTACACCTGGGGTACACCTGAGTTAACTGGGATACACCTGGGCACACCTGGGATACACCTGGGACACACCTGGGGTACACCTGGGACACACCTGAGTTAACTGGGATACACCTGGGTACACTTGGGATACACCTGGAATACACCTGGGGTACACCTGGGGTACACCTGGGCACACCTGGGGTACATGTGGCCACACCTGGGTACACCTGGGGTACACCTGGGATACGCCTGGATACACCTGGGCACACTTGGGCACACCTGGGATGCACCTGGGGTAGCTGGGACACACCTGAACTAGGTGCTGAGATCAGCTGTGTTACCTGGGTACACCTGGGCACACCTGGGGTACACCTGGGATACGCCTGGATACCCCTGGGCACACCTGGGATACACTTGGGCACACCTGGGCACACCTGGGTACACCTGGGTACACCTGGGCACACCTGAGTCACCTTGGGCCCACCTGGGCGCACCTGGCCAGGTGAGGGGCTCACCTGAGTTGGGCCCCGTGCTGAACTGGCCGACGGGGCTGTGCTCCCTGATGGGGGGGGTGTGCCCTCACCTGTGCACACCTGTGTGTGCACCTGTCCTCACCTGTGTGTGTACATGTGTGCACCTGTGCGTACTTGTTCTCACCTGTGTGCACCTGTCCTCACCTGCGTGTGCCTCTCCTTACCTGTAACTGCCCATTCACGTTGCCTATTCACATTCACACCTGTGGTTACCTGTGCGTACCTGTCCTCACCTGTGTCTCCCTCTCCTTACCTGTAACTGCCCATTCACATTCACACCTGTGGTTACCTGTGCGTACCTGTCCTCACCTGTGTGTGCCTCTCCTTACCTGTGTGTAACTGCCCATTCACATTCACACCTGTGGTTACCTGTGCGTACCTGTCCTCACCTGTGCGTGCCTCTCCTTACCTGTGTGTGACTGCCCATTCACATTCACACCTGTGGTTACTTGTGCGTACCTGTGCTCACCTGTGTGTGCCTCTCCTTACCT